CTGCATTATTTTCTTTCCTTTATGTCTTCTTGTTGGTGTGTCTTGAAGATGCAAGAGACTGCTCCAGTCCCTGAACCTACGCATTTCTATGTCCACTTGCTCTCTCAGTACTTTGTCCTCTACTCACCTCCCCCTAAATTCTCATTCTATCTGTTTATATCTTAAGTTCTTCTCTGTCCACCTTCTGTTTTACATTCTGTTCCCCAGGCTTTCCAATTCTTTGTTTTTTTGCCTGTGTTCTGATCTTCATCCCATTTTCCTCCCTCCTTTTCCCTTTCAATATAGTTCAGGTCCATGTCATTATCATCTGACCTCACCAGGGCTCTGAAGCACTCTATTCCAAATCAGAATCAGCATTGGAAGTGATACTAATAACATAGGAAAGGGCTCCAGCATCAACAACAGTGTAGAAAGTTTAGAAAGCATGAGCTGGGAGAAAGGTTTGAAAAGCTTTGTTTTTAAGAGCAGGTTAGATGCGTATTTGTCAGGCATGGCCTAGGCATATGTGGCATATCCTGCCTCAGTTCTGGCAATGGATTAGAGGACAACTTGAAGTCCTACCACTTAATGATTCTGTGATTCTCTCAAGTAAACTAGCTTGCGCTCCTACAACTGACTCCCCATTCCAGCCCACTTACCTGATCATCTTCTGGTGCTTTTATCTTCATAGTATTTCTTCCTGTGCTGTAATGTTCTCTGTCTGAGAACCACCTTAGTCTGCTTTACAGCCTCTGCCTGCCAAGTGTTAAAATTACAGTAATCTTCCTATTTCACTGGCTTTCTTTTAAGTCCTGTAGGGTTGAAGTGGTGTTGTAGCCATGATGGTCCAGGAAATGTACAACAGTTTGTGGTATCTGTTATTGGACCTACAGTATAGATGGGAGAGATGTTTAACAAGCTTTTAGGCATGAAGTGCCCTTCTTCAGGTCTGGGAAAGACACAGACACAGACTATAAGCTAAACAACCCTTCCCTTGAAGTCCAGTATCTTCTATCTTTCTTACCACATGCCTCTGCCATTTGAAGTCATTGGAAACACTGAGATGTGTTTTTTTTAATGGAAATTACCAAAATGTATTGGTGCTGTTAAGTAAGAAACAATATAAACATAGTCAACTTGATTGTGCTTGACACCGTTAGGTCCCTGCAGTGGGGGCAGCATTTCCACAGGCAGAGCTCCAGAAATGATTGTCTCAGGATATATTATGGGAAGGGAGAAGCTCCCTGCTCACCTCTGTATTTCACCAGTTTTGTAGGCATATAATTCATGAGGAAGTAAAGCAGAAAAAACAGTTTTGAATTCTCCCTGCCCCTCCCTTGGCTCCTATTCTGAAAGGAGCAGTCTCCCTTTTGAAAGAATGCAGGGACTGCAGTTGTACTTGAGGAAAAGGCCATGTTTCAATCCTGAACTATGGCCCAACACCTGAACTATGGCCCAACACCTTTGTACCACTTTCTGCATGGTGAGTTTGTATCATCATGTTATATCACAGCTCCATGGGAAGTAAAAATAAATAGTAAACACTTGCTTTTTAAAAATTTTTGGATCATGTTCAACAACCATCTGTTTTTTATGTTATAGGGAAACCAGAATGTCCAGTGTATCCAACAGAACTGGTGTTTGCCTTAGACTTATCTGAGGATGTCACCCCTCAGATATTCCAAAGGATGAAAGACATAGTCATATCAATAGTGACTGACACCAGAACGAGAGACAGCAACTGCCCCATTGGAGCTAGAGTTGCCGTGATGCAGTATGGTTCACATACACACTACGTGATCCGATTCTCAGAGTTCTACAACAAGAAACATTTCATTCAAGAAGTAAAAAATCTGTCTCATCAGAGATCCAAGACTGTCCGGCATATTGGCAGTGCTATGAGATTTATTGCCAGGCATGTCTTCAAGAGAACGCTGCAGGCTCCTAATGTAAGAAAAATAGCAGTGTTTTTCAGCAATGGGCCATCTGCAGATGCATCTTCGATTAATACAGCGGTTCTGGAGTATAGAGCATTCGATATCATTCCAGTAGTTATTGCTTTCAATGATGTACCCAATGTCAATCAGGCCTTTAAGGTAAGAAAGCCAATAATGTTTTATTCTTTATGTTTGATAAGTAAAAAGACCTTGAAAGAATATAATATTTTACAGCATTCAAAACCCATGGGGTCATATTCATCTCTGGTATAACTCATGGTCTTCTATAGAGGTATACTATGCACAAATTTGGTCCATTTGTATCGATTACCTGTAACTGTATCTGGGGTCAAATCTTGCAACTCCTGTGTTAATGATTTATATTAAAGCTAGTGATTTAATTCACTGCAATAAAACTACTAGAATAAGGACTGTGCATATGCTGAATAAGAATTTTAGAACATGCCTCTTAATCTAAGTATTTTATCAAAATGCATTCAAGACCATGAGCCTGAATCACTACTGCCTTATAGTTTGTGAGGTCATTCACTAGGCCTGTGCAAGTTGGCAGCGATCTGATCCAGCTTCAGATCCAGCCGCTTTGGATGCCAGGGATCCGATCTGGAGCTCTGGACCGGGTTTATGCTTTGATCTGGCCGAAGCGGCTCTGAAGCTTCGGAGCTGCCTCAGAGATCCAGCCAGAGGGTATAATGGGGAATCAATTAAATATCTATAACTTTGTTGTTTAATGTCTGATTTGGATGAATCATGAGCCTTGCAGGGGTGTTAGCCTCTACTGAGAGCATGAAGCCTGCCAAGTTTCAAGAAGATCAGTGCAGGGGTTTGGGGGAAACTGTATCTCAAATTCTTAAAAGCAAAACTCATGTCACGTCTGTATGTTACACCACAGGGGGGTGAAAACTGCAGGAATGGTGGCCCCTGGTGAAGCCACAAAGCCTGCAAAGTTTCAAGAAGATCAGTGCAGGGGTTTGGGGGGGAACTGCACCTCAAGCTGCTGACAGGCAACACTCATGCCATAGATCACCCTGTGTGCGCTAAGGTGCAGCGAGGTGAAAACTGCACAGGTGGTGGCCCCTGCTCAGGCCACAAAGCCTGCCAAGTTTCAAGAAGAGGGTGCAGGGGTTTGAGGGGAACTGCACCTCAAGCTGCAGACAAGCAAAACTCATGACATGGGTGCGTTAAGGCGCAGCGGGATGAAAGCTCCAGGGATGGTAGCCCCTGCTGTGGCCACAAAGCCTGCCAGCTGTCGAGGAGATTGGGGCAGGGGGGGGGGGGGGCCCTGCACCCCTAGCTGCTGACAGGCAAAACTTGTGCCATGGGTGCTTGTGCAACTGACTGTGTCTGTCTTGGGGCAGCTAATTGTCTGCATTGATTCTTTCCTCTCCTTAGTCTGTGGTTTTGTTAGGTGTTAATTGATGTTAAATAACTGGTTTACATTAGCTAGGTCCTGTGTATTGAGCTGGTCCCTGAGTGAATCATGATTGATTAGTAACTGGTAACACAGTAGCTTAGCAGCCAGGCCTGCAGTAGTGTCTCCCAGCCCCAAGGCAGACAGTTGCACAAGCACCCATGTCACGAGTTTTGCCTGTCAGCAGCTAGGGCTGCAGGCCCCCCCCCTGACACCAATCTCCTTAACAGCTGGCAGGCTTCATGGCTGCAGCAGGGGCCACCATCCCTGCAGCTGTCCCCCTTCCACCCCTTAAAAAACACAGTGTCACCCATGTCACGAGTTTTGCTTGTCCACAGCTTGAGGGGCTTTTCCCCCAACCCCCTGCCCCCATCTTCTTGAAACTTAGCAGGCTTTGTGGCCTCACCAGAGGCCACCACCCCTGCAGTTTTGACCCCCCTGTGTTGTAACACATAGACGTGACATGAGTTTTGCTTTTCAAGAATTTGGGGTGCAGTTCTCCCTGAGCTCCTGCACTGATCTTCTTGAAACTTGGCTTGCTTTGTGGCCTCACCAGGGGCCACAACTTCTGCAGTTTTCACCCCCCTGTGATGTAACACGTACACGTGACATCAGTTTTGCTTTCAAGAATTTGGGGAGCAGTTTCCCCTCAAACTCTGCACCGGTCTTCTTGAAACTTGGCAGGCTTCATGCTCTCAGTAGGGGCTGCAACCCTTGCAAATTTCACCCAACAAAGTTATACATATTTAATTGTTTCCCCATTATACCATATGGCCGGATCTCCGAGGCAGCTCCAAAGCTTTTCTGAAGTGCTTTGGAAGCTCCGAACTGCTTCAGAAAGCCTAACAAAGCCAGTTAGGCTTTGTTCCTAACATCGATCCGGATGTGCTGCTTCAGATGCTGAAGTGTCTGAAGCTTCTTCGGATCCAAAGCTCTGTCCAGAGCCTCGTACAGCCCTATCATTCACCCATGTGTAAAGTGAGTGCATTACCGCAATGGGGAAAGGCAGTAAATGAGTTGCAAAGTAGTGGAGAATAAAGGCCTGAGAGTTTGACAGCTGCACAGCTCTCTACCTGGGCTCTCTTTTTAGCCAGAAATAGTTCATTGTGTAACAGTCATTGAATCAAGAAATGGTAGAAATTAGGTTCAATAGTCTGTAAAGAAAAATCATGATTTGTAATTATGTAGTAGCTTATGCATGTCACTGATGAGATAGATACCTCAAGACAAAGGGATTGCACAGCTGAAGCCGAGGGCAAACCTTGGTTTGAAGAATTTTCATTACTACCGCTGATAATACATGAAATGGAAAGAGCCCAGTTTGACAGTCATGGATGAGGTTGAATTGGTAGAACTTCCACACAGAAGCACCGTATGGCAAACTGGGCAAATTTGGTGTGGAAATCCCTGAATGTGGAGTCCAACATTTTACAAAACCATCTTTTAGCAGAAGAGTTTAACAAGAAAAAGAGGAATTGGAAAAAAAATATATTTTTCCAGAGAGACTAAGCTATGGTTGAATAGTGGCAGGAAATATCAGTTTTGCTTTTTTTCCTCTTTTTTCTGTCTTATACTTGCTCTAACATAGCTTAGTAAACTACTTTTGGATATGGTTCCTGCCCAGCAATCTCTCTTGTTCTTTGGTGAGATTTCCAGGTATTCATGGCCCTAATATTTTATTAGGATAGTGATTCTCAACCAGGGTGCCATGAGATGGTTTCAAGGGTGGCACAGTGTCCTATGCAAATGTTAGCACTGTTAAGAGGACAAACATGATTCTCAAGAGAAACCCAGAGATTTTAATTAGGAATCGGTAGTGTTAAAACCTTCTGACCTGTTGTGGTCTTTCTGAGTTCTTTGCAACAAAAGAATTGCTCTATTATTTAGCATATTCAAAAAAGTGAAAGCTAAGAGCTGGCATTTTCTGAGGGGTTCCTTGATTCTAACAAGGGGTAACCTTGAGTCTAAAATGGTTGCAAACTGCTGTATTAGGATAACACTTTTGGGGGCTAAATGTTACAAGAACATTGTAAGATGTTCTCTGTCATAGGAACACATCAGATTCATTCCCTTGCATGACTGTCTTTATTCAGGGCACTTTAGACTCATTTGTCCTGCTGTGACATGATGAGGAAGGAAGAGATTCAACTTTTATTTGGAAGAGAAAAAAAAAGCCAATGGGAATTGTACAGTTTGTATAGTCTCTAGAGTTATATTGCAGCTAAAGTGATTTTTCAGTAAAACATGCTGGCATCTGCCATAGATTTCCAAAGAAATCATGTAAGGAGAGGAGCTGGGATCCAAAACCACAATGCTATAAAGATACTTTTTAAGGGAAAACAGTTTAATACAGCAGTGTTAAAAAAACCGCACACAAACAGGCAAAACACTGGAGATCTTGACTTTAGAAAAGTTGAAAGAGTTCAAGGCAGGATTTGGCACAAGAAATCTGGAATTAGCAGATGTCTTAAACAATTTGTCTTAACATGCTTCTACATCAGTGTTGGCTAAAACGTAAAATCCTTAAATATATGCAGAAAGCCTTTGGAGAATTTTCAGTATGAGCCTCTTCTTTTTGAGACTCACCCCATGGATTGAAATCTGTTTAAGATGCACAGTGCAAGCTTTCATATACAAGAGGCAAGGCTTTCTTAGGGTGATATCTTTTATTGGACCAACTGTGTTGCTTTCATATGTCCTTTACCTCATCATCCTTTATCTTCCCTCATGAAGTAATTATTTACCTCACTTTTCGTTTCTACTCTGGCAACAAATGTAAACTGTATTGTTGAGTTGTCCAACATTTGAGAAGGATCCCAGGTTCAGAATATCATATGTACATTTTTGGAGCCAAATTCATCCCAGATGTGACTGACACAACATGAAGTTATATCCGGGGATAAGCTGGGTGCCCTCTATATTGCTTGTCATATTTAGCATTCACAGAATGTCCAGCACAAAGATTACAAAATTAAACTAAGAAAGAAATGATATCAGGTTTAGAGAATTTTTCTGCAAAAAATAACCAAAGGCATTGGCTTTTTTCTATTTGTACTGAATTAGTTTTATACTGTTCATTCTGTCCCCAAATAAGATGAGTAGTAACAAAGTTATGGAAACTCAGTTACAATGTGAACCTTTTTGTCAGTTATTAAACCATTCAAAGAGAATTAAAGTGCTAGCAGGCAAAACTTCAAACAACGTTCAACTTTATTACTAGATTTCTTCCAGACTTGATAAGAAAGTTGCACTAATTCATAGACAATTTTAACAAGAAAATATACCCACATGGAATATGTTAAGAGTTTAAATATTTGTGATGATTCTGTTGGCTGTGTGACTTGATTGACCAAAAGTGATTATGAGGTACCTTGCCTTGCAGATTCTTAGGACCCTGCTACATGTTCAAATTAAAGCTGGATAGAAATGAGCTATAAAATTGTTACACATTTTCAAGCATTAATTTTGTAGCTGGTTGTCTCATTTTATAACTGGATGGATATTAGGGCTGTGCAAAGCTTCAGATGATGATTCGATTTGGAGATTCAGCCCAACTCAGTGGCCAAATCTCCGAATCTGAATCGAATCAGGGGACCAATTTCAAGTTCTGAATCGATTCAAAGTTCTCTGAATCTTCAGAAAAGACTTAGAGAGCTTTGATGATTCGGGCAGTCCCCAGTGGCTGCAGCTGGACTCTGTCCTGATAAGTACTAGGGGTGGGGGAGGAGGGAAGGGACCATGGAGGGAGCCCCGCCATGGCTGCCCCAGCTCCCAGCCCTTTAAAGAAAAGCCCCAGTGCTCACCGGGTGCTGCTGGGCAAGGGGGACAATCCCTGCTGCGCCCCGCCCACTGCCTCATGCTGCATGGGGAGCTCTGCACAAGCCCCCAGATGCCCCCTCACTCCCTCAGTCCCCCAAGAGGGGCCCCCACCCAGGGCCAGCTCTGGCCCTTTAAGGAAAAAAAAAACAGAGAAAAGCCCCCAGACTCACCACTCCTGCAGCAGCCTCAGGGTTTCGTGGGGCTCGTGCAGAGCCCCCCACATGGCTCAGGGCAGCAGGGATCGTCCCGCACCGGCAGGAGCGGTGAGTGTGGGACTTTTCTCTGGTTTTGTTTTTCTTAAAGGGCTGGAGCTGGCCTCGGCAGGACACCCGTGGGGGAGCTGGGGGACTGAGTAGGGGGGTCAAGGTGCTCATGCAGAGTCCCCCATGCAGTGGGGGGCAGCAGGGATGACCCCCCCCACCCAGGAGCACCTGGTGAACAGGGGCTTTTTTCCCAAAGAGCCAGGTGCTGGGGCAGGCGGGGCAGCCATTGCTGGGTTGTGGGGGATGGGCGTGGCTGATTGGGAGACTCAGAACTTCGGCGGCAGCCAAATCTCCGAAACAGATTCAACCGAATCGATTCGGAACAGTGATTCAAATCACCAAATCAAATTGCTGTCCCCCGAATTGACCGAGACTGAATCCGAAGCAAATACTAGCTGCTTTGTGCTGGCCTAACGGATGTTAGGCCAGTCTTACAGTACCTTAGGCACAACTCTGTCCTTGTGTCCCTGTGTGCCTTCCACTAAATTCATAGTAGTCTTACTACTTCCATGTAAGCCCACTACACCAATAAATATCCTGTCACTTTTCAGCTCCCTAAACCACATCCAAATTAATCTCAGCCTTTCTGAGTAATGAGATATCATGGGATTTGTTTTCTGTGGAGTTTGTACACCACTCTAGCCATTGACAAGCCTCAGAACTACAGAAAAATCACCTTCTTATCAAATCCAGCCAGTTTTTACAAACACCTGGACCTTCAGCATTATCCTTAGACACAACTAATCGATCTCTAGTTGAATCAGTAGCCTAGGATCAATGCATTGTGCTGTCGGGGAGCAGAGTACAAAGATAAAGTTGTCTGAGGATCTGAACTGGTTTCCACACACAGTTCTCTCTCAACCCCAAGCTTTCATTCACTGTATGAAGTGTCAGATCTGTACTGAATGATTTTGCAGTTGAGTTCGCGATCATCCTTTTGTTTGCAGCATTAAAGGGAAAAATGGGGAAACCACAGTCTATGGTTAAGATTAAGTAAGTATTTAAAAGAAAATCTGCTAACTTTAGGACTTGAATACTAACCCATCACATCATTCAATCATCATCTTGCAAACTTGCGATAGAAATATTTAACTGATCAATAAAATTGTCACACATTTAAACTAGCACTTAGCCAGCTCCCAAATGTTATACGCCATATTTCAGGAGTCTAAATTGCAGTTTTGCTACATGTGTAATTGACAGGGTTTTTAATTGTAATTTGTTATAACAGAACCTTATGAATGGGGGCAAGCTGCTTTTTAAGTTGAAAGGAAAACATCAGAATCTAAAATTTTAGCTTATATACAAAAGCAGCATGCTTTGATTATATGCATGGTTGCTTGCAAGCTTTTTAAAGAGCTTGCTTTCTTTAAGGGAGATTGTTTTAAATGGAAGCTCCCTAAATAATGAGACCAATTCCTTTAAAAGAGTAATGTTCCACAAGAACTAGACTTTGCAGGGTTCATCAAGGGCAAACAGAGCTTCATGTTGCCTGGTTGAGAGTGTTTCCAAGAAGTCTCATGACATTTTTAGAATTTCTCTGAAGAGACACAACATTAGCTATTAAAATAGGTTAGCATTGGGTCCTCAAAACATGTTTATCATATTTATTATGAAAGATTATGTGACAACACCATAATGTACCAACCTGTAGAATAACATGCAGTTATAAAGTTTGGGAGCTGGCTAAGTGCTATTTTAAATCTGCGATGATCTTATTGATTGGTTGAATATTTCTATTTCAAGTCTGAAAGACTGTTTTGCAATTCCATGTAGTATGCAAGATATGTATCATGAATAATCCTTTAAGAAAGGGAGAAACTTTATAATCATTCTTAAACTTATTTTAAGACAAGTTTGCATGTATTTATATTGTTCAATTTTACTGTCTTGACCTTGAAAAATTTCCATGGGTCTGATGAACTTCTAATGTTTTGCTTAAACAGGGGTGCCCTTATTAACAGAGAGTGAGTAAACAACATTATCCCACTACCAGGTACTTATCCCACTACTAGGAGTTTCCAAAGTAAAAGCATAAAGAATGCCAGGCATCCTGTCGTAGGATTCTTAGAAAGCTGGGCAATCGAGCGCACTTTTTTTCTAATCTAATCCGGGAAGCTAGTCCCAGTTCCATCTCTGCCTTGGCCTTCCTAACTACCCCCCTACACCCCCGAGCAACTGCCGAATAGTCCTCCTTGGTGATGACCCCTCCTTTCCATTGGGAGTAAGCCTCCTTTTTAGCAAGGAGACTTTCCCGGATGCTTTTGGTGAGCCATGGAGACTTATTGCCCTATTAACCACTTAATGATTAACCACTTAATGATGTAATATATGTTATCTGTGGCAGGGACCTTTGCTTCATCAAGCAGAGCGCAATCCTGTAGCTCTTCTGCAGGCAGAACTCCCACTGAGATGGAAAGACCCATTTAAAACTAAGGCCCAGCTACTTTGTAAGGAGCATCTTGTACTTTTGAAGTAGTTATTTTTCATTGTGTTTGAGACATGTTCTTTCTGTTTGGAAGAGAAGAGCACTCAGAGATGGATTCTTGGACACATATCAGACTTAATTCAGCAGAAACCTGATGTGAACTCAATTTCTAAGTAACATAAGCTGGCTAGTTCTAGGATTTGAAATGCTCCAGCTACTAAGGAATGAAAAAAAATCACTGTTGAGATAGATGCCAAAAAAAAATAATTACTGTTGAGATGCCAAGCCAAAGCCCAGCACAGCTGGACTATAAATTCATCACTGAAGTTGTGGTTAGGAAGAATTTGGAAGCTTTTTTCTAATAATAGAAAAATTGCAGGGTTACAGAGGCTTGTCATTGCAGAGGCCATATATATTATTGCTGGTTACGTGCAAATTAGTGATTAAACTTCTGGTTGTTGTCTTGAGTGAATATGCTTCTCTAAGAATGCCTAAAGTGAATACAATTCTATATGTTTTTAAATAGTGCAAGACAGATGCACTTGCCTGCTTTACTACCACCTTCTCTTGTTCTGTCTAGATGGATGACACTGGAAAGTTTCAGGTAATAAATATAGATCCAGAAGGGAACTATATACCATTTTTACAACCATTTCTTCTCTGCACACTGTGTTATGGTAAGATCTGTGTTCAATTTAAAATAACAATGTTAAATGGACTGAGATGTACTAATTATTTGGTGATGCCTAGTAGGGAGGCTAATATTTCTGATTTAGTTAGACTATAAGTTACAAATCTAACCTGCTTCATGCCTGGCTTCAGTTTAATGCAGCTAACTACGTCCCTTTGATCAAGGACAGTGTTAAAAAAAGTGTTAAAGAAAGTACTGAACCAGTTAAAGAAAGTACTGAACTCCTTCCTGTGGTGTTAATTGGCCTATGTGGCCTTTATTTCTTTGTTACATGTTGAATTTCTAAATGAAATGTAGTTAGCAACTACAACAAAACTTTTTCATGATATAAGGACAACTTGCAGTTAGTCTGATCTGTGTTGCCAAGTTTAAAACTTATGAGACAATATACTCAAATGCATTAAAATATTCAAATTCTCAAGATAGTTCATGGTTAAAATGCAGTAGTTACTTATAGGTCAGTGGCCCACTGACTATATTTCATGCAGGATCAGTAGCTGCTCTGCCATTCAGACACCAGGGTCAATGCCCTGTTTGGTAAACAAGGGTCTGCACCTACATGCTCACTAATGTGCAGTAGTTACTGCACATTTAATTTGTGCTTGCTCAATAAACTCTTACAGAGTTGGTTAGTGAAGTTAGTCCGAAGTTGGACGAAAAGCAGAGCAGGATAGCACATTAGAGGCTAATTTATTCAGAGTGGTATGAAGTTTCATACGCAACAACCTACTTCATCAGATGCTATGAAAGGAGTGGTAGACAGAAGGAAAAGGGAGGGGCGGTGGGGAGGGAAGGAAGAGGCATGGAACAGATGCTGCTAAAGAGAGGTAATGACCTGGTTGGAACTTGAGATCCATTTTTGAAAACTGGTGAATATATTTTGCATTCCATGCAGAGATATGCAATATGATCAAGGCTGAGGAAATCTACCTAGTAAAGAGCTCCTAGAGGGTCCTTTGGAACACAAAGTATATGTCTTCACATTCAGTGTTGATAATTGCCACTACAATTCAAATTAATATCTTTCCTCAATAAACTTTGAACAACTTGGGAAATGAGTCTTAGTGCTCTGATACCTACTACAGCTTTTAGACTACTGTGTTTATAAAGAGAGAGAGACTTTCTGTTCAAATATCTTATTCCTTAATAGCCCAACTAATTCTCAGAGCCACTGGAAGTCTTTATGGTCCTAAATTTATATTGAAATATGTATAGTCAAAATTGTCACAAGTCATCTGAAAGTAGCCAATGGGAAGGAATTTTAATGTAGTGAGATTTGATCCTGTAAAAAGCTGAGCACTTCACAAGATCAACCCTTAATTTTCTGATTTAATTCTACATTAAGGTTCATGAATTTAAGATGTTGTTATGGTTGTGATGTGAATTCTTAAAGGTTAGTAGCTCTAATCCACTCATAGATTCATAGATGTTAGGGCCAGAAGGGACCTCAATAGATCATTGAGTCCGACCCCCTGCGTAGGCAGGAAAGAGTGCTGGGTTCAGATGACCCTAGCCAGATGCCTATCTAACCTCCTTGTGAAGCCCCCCAGGGTAGGG